CTGGCCATCATGGTGATAAGAAGAGGAAAGGCCAAAGGGCCATAAGGAACAGTGTGCATGGTCCAGGTCAACAGTGTGAGGAGGCTGGACTCAAAGGGGAGGCAAGGCGAACAAGAATATTATCTGATAAGAATCACCGAGGTCTTTTGATCTCAGAGGGGCTGATCCTGAGCTACAGGGAGTCATGCTGGGCGAACGAGCAGAACGACACGGCAGGTACAAACAAGCAAGTCCTTGAAGATCATCTGGTCTGAGCATATTTACATAAGGAAGACTGGAAAGACTCTTGCATGCACACACACTCAAACATACAGTCATCTTGTCCGCAGGATTTCACACTAAAGTAGCATTCTTAACATGTTTAGCCACAAGAAAGCACAAATAATGCCCATTTTTCTGATAAAGTTAAATGACCAGCCAATTCCTGGCTAGTAATATGATAAAAAAAAGACAAATCTGATGCAGCAGATATTTACCAATGTAAGCCACGACTGGGCAATAAATTCAAAACCCACAAATGACTGTGAGCCCACTGAAGAGAAGCTTGGATGTCACAGTGTGGTCTGGTGGGTTTTGTCTCATAAGTCACTGATTAAAAGCCATCATGTGGAGGCCAGACAGGACCTGGGGCTGCAGTGCAAGCTGTGGCTGCAGTGCAAGCTGTGGCCTGAACCAAATGCCTGTCTCGCCCAGGGCAAGATGGAGGAGGGATTTTTGCCCGGAGTGGATAGGGGGTGGGTTAGCAAGCTGCTCCAGAGTTAAAGTGTCCTTGGTTTCCCCTTAGCAACAGTTAAAAATAAAAGTGCGGATACACACGTACTTGTATCTAAAGCCTCTCTTTCTTTTGCAGAATAAGGCCCAGGACACATGGTGATATTTTATATCTGTTTTTAATTGTCAGCAATTTCAGAAAAAACTAACAAATACTGTCTGTGTAGCCAAAGCCAAAACATTTCTTATTCCTGTGTGCCATAAACGATCACCCCCTTGCACTGGCTGACATCTTAGTGTGCACACTGCAGTTTATTTTGAGTACAGTGCCCAGCTGTTTTAAAAGAATGAAATTATATTTGTGACCAGTTTACAAGTGTTATATCTTCAGTAGGAAGGAACGGGCTTGAGGCTGAAAGCCACAGAGAGGCAGATTCAGAAAGTTTTGAGTGATGGACTAAAGTACTGTTGGTTTTGGTTTTTCTGTGAGATTGGTTGACAATAAAAGAAATATAGAATATTTAATGGGCCTCTTTTCAGATAATCAGAGTCACTGAGCTCTGTTTTTAGCACAGGCTTTTATTGTATTTATTCGTCACAACTTAAAAATGAGGGTTATGATTTCTTTTAAATTTGTCCTTAGTTCAAATCAAGCCGAGACAATGACAACAAGGTATCAGCATCCTGTTACATCCAGGCTCCAATTAAAAGAATTAAGATGTAAGGGGCCTTCATTATCAGCTCTCTCTGAAGGACATCAAAGGCGGTGGTGGAGTGAGAGTGCAGCTGCCTTGACGGTGTGAGTTTCTCCTCTCTCACTCCAGAGGAACTTGTTTGTGTTGAGGATGTTTACTGATCCCAGGAAAGACAAACAGCCTCCTTCTTGTGTGTTGGCACCGCAGCTCAAACAGAGAGCAGTGAGGCCCATTCTGTGTGTATGTGCGAGAGAGAGCGAGACAGAGCTTCAGGATGTATTGTATTGTTAGGTCTGTGTTTATCTTGTCTCTGTGTTTTCACCCCACTTCCAAGTTTCCCAGCAGAAGTTGACCAAATCCAATGCTGTGAAATACAATTTGCCAAAAAAAGGCAGCCAAGGCATGCCAAAAGGCAGTTACACGTACCAGATGTATACAATATATTTTAAATCAGCATAGTCATTAGATTTTCTGATGATCTCATGATAAGTCATGGCTTTAGTTCAGTCAAATAATCAACTAATTCATTACTCACAAATATACATTAAACTCCGCGCTCAGTTATTATACCTCATCTAAACACATGGTGTCACTCTTTCTCATCTATGCTGATAGACTTTGGAAGAAGCCCTCCTTAACTGTTTGTTACTCAGTACACTTGTATCACATACCATCATGTGTCTTAAATCTTTTCATGGAAATATCATTCAAGCTTATTCTGAAGTAAAACACACGTTTGGCCCATGTTTAGATAATTGTGTAGTGTACGATGGCAAATTATGATACAGTACGTACATTACTTTTTAATTTAGGCTGGAGGCAATGCAAGAAAGTAGGTTAAACTGTGAGGACATTTTAATAGAAATTATTACACTTCCATTTAATCCTGTATTTCAGTTAACACTGATCGCAAAAAACTTAGCTTCACTCCCAGGCTGTTTTATAAAAAACAGACCAATTGACATCTGTGTTGGCACGATGTACTGTCTAATTCTGTGAGCTTATATCAGCAAATGTCACTTTGTACTGAGGTTTTCTACCACAGCTATAAATCGTGAGGGAAACAGGCTTTCACAGAGATGTTTTATGGCACAGAGACTTCCCTTCCATTCTGCAGGGGGTATGGTGCTTTACACCGTGTGTTCATGTGTCACAGTCCTTTTAACAGGCGCAGTCTATTTTTCTATTCAGCATCATCCAGGTGTTCACTGACAGATGTTTTGATAACACAGGAAGTTTGTATTGTTGGCTAGATTTGAGAAAGGGTGACAATATAAATTTATTAAAATGTTTTGAGCAGATTTGAATTATTTTATATGTTACTGGCTTGATTTAACATTTAATACTACTTCATCATTTACATGTTGATTTACATAATTGAAAATAAATATTTACCTCCAAAATGTAGTGGAGTATATATATAAAGAGGCAGAAAATGGACTCAAGTACCTCAAATTTTAAATAGTACATTACTTAAGTAAATGTACTTTGTTACATTCCACCACCGTTAAAATAGCTGGTAGCTTAGAGATAAGATAGATAAATAGCTTATCTAATGCCAACAATTATAAAGTCATAAAACACTGACAACCCTGACAGTAAAGCTGCAATAACCAATTATTGTCATGACATGTTGCTTGTTTTTTCCAACCAACAGTCCAAAACCTAAAATGTATTCAGTGTATTCAATCATGACATACTAAAAAACCTTTCAAATATACATATTAGAGAAGCTGTATCCTAAATTATGTAGACTATGACATGTCAAATGCAAAACTAAATGTAGAACACACTTGCATTTACAAAATATAATTTATTAACTCTCTGACAGTGATGTATATATTTATATTGGAGAACAAACAATACAAACACTGTATGTTAATATATGAAATGTGTGTCTTACATATGACTTTACAGTATGACTTTTATTTTTTTAATTTGTCCTATTTCTTCTTGTCATGAATCATGGCTGAATGATTGTATTGTTTAGTCTATTAGCAACATTTAGCAGCAATTCATTGAAGGAATGTAACTAAGTATGTACTTTTACTCAAGTAGTGTGCTTAAGTACAGGTTTGAGAAACTTTTACTTTTTGAGTATTTTCCTTTTTATGCAATAAATATTGTACTTTTTACTCCTCTACATTTATTTACAAGCATTAGTTGCTAATTATTCTTCAACTTAAAATTTACATGCAAAACATATGAGGAGCTAAGATAATATGATCTATTAAATGTATATTAAATAGCTTTACTATTAAACTAACCTGTGTATAAAGTACATTAAATTGTCTAAACACTGACAAATTATAATATTAAGTAATAATGTTCATTAATACTGTGTATTATTAGCAATCTTATTTTATTTTATATTTTTGATACTTTAAGTACAATTTGGTGGACTGTTAGTTTACTGAAGTAACATTTTGAATCCAGGACGTTAATTTTTAATGGAATATTTTTAAACTATGGTATTTCTACTTTTAAATTATCTGAAAACTTCTTCCAGCACTGAAACAATGGTTGGGCTAATAGAAAATAACATGCTACAGAAGATGGGAAGTTGTTGTTTTATGATACCATTCTGCATGCAGGATAATATAGGCTAAGTCTTTATTGATCCCCACAGAGCAAATTCAGTTGTTGCAGAAACACAAGGACAGAAATAAGTACAGATTAGAGAAAGTAAAAAATGCACAATAAGAGGTCTACAAAATTACAAGGCAAAGGTGACAGTGGTGTGAAGTGAAGTGTGTGGTGGCACCAAAGTAAGCAAGTCTAGTAAATGTAAAAATTGTACATCTGAGCAGTGGAGGAAGAAGTATTCAGATCATTTACTTAAGTAAAAGTAACGATACTACAGTGTAAAAATAGTCTGGTAAAGGTAAAAGTCCAGCATTCAAAATTTCACTAAAAGTAAATCAAAATATACTTACAGTACCAAAAGTAAAAATACACATTATACAGAATGGCACATTTCAGAGTTATATATTATATCATTGGAGTATAATCACTGATAGATTGATCACTTTAGTGTTGCAGCTAGTATAGGGGTGGGGTTCATTTAAACTACTTTATGCAGTGTATCTAAATCAATAATATTAGGCTCATATATATTTTATTTGTTGATAAGGTGGAGCTAATTTAACCCCATATCTTATCGCACCTTATATTAAGGTTTAACAATAGATGATATTTTATTGTTATTGTTGATTATATTTTGCACTGACAATCTGAATCTGCAAAGTAAATTGTAACTAAAGTTATCAGATACATTTAAAGGAGTATAAAGTGCAAATGCCTGTTTCTTTGTACTTAAGTGCAGTATTTGAGTAGATGTAGCCTTCTTAGTTACTTTTCAAACCTGCACCAGACTAATTGCCTTTATGAAATGTAATAGCCTGATATAGTATAACATACTAGTACCTAGTATAGTATAATAACAAAACATATGAGGTTATTTCGTTGTACACCAGCAGTTTCTGTTATAAGTGACTGAAAAAGGTAATACTGTATTGTGTACAGGTAGCCTACTGTAGCAGAGCATGCTGTGTACACCTGCATGGACTTCTTCCTGTGCTCTACGTGTGTTGGCGCACAACTGTGTGATCGAAACTGGGAGTCGCCAGCCTTCCCCTGAAGGTTGAGCTACACCTGGGACAGCGGGCTGTGGTAATTCAACCACAGCAATGCGGTAAAAAGAAAATGTCAGAAAACCTCGGCGGTGTGGCTGCTGTCCAGTCTTCAGGCTGTCTTATATTAAAGTCGTTATCCACTGAGTTCACAGTGGTCTCTTTGTTTAAGCTAGCGACACGTTAGCTGCTGCTTCCGGAAAACAACCTTCACACAGGTAAGGCGAGTTTCGGTCTCGACTTGAGCTAATTCTCTTTGTTTATGTAAACATTCACAAAACAAGGCTGTTTCACACTTTTCAGGGCTTCGCCAAGCCTGTGTTTAATGGTAAAATGTAGATGTGTTAGAGCACGTATTCACTCGTTGACAGAAAAGTGAGTTTCCGTTGAGCTTTTCTCAAGGTGTGTAGCAGTTAGCGTTTTCTCAGCAGGTTGTGCGCTAAAGGTGAAACCATGGCACACCGCCGTATTAACCATGAATCCATCCGTCTGACTGATACCTATGAAGCCTAACTTTTATTACCTCTTCTGTCATTTGGATCTGACACATTAGTGTAGTGATTACGAACAAACCAACAGCCATGGGCTGACAAGAGAGGGGGCACTGAGTTATTTATGGTCCCGTTGACGACACACATCCAGGCAGGGCTGGAAAGTGATTACAAATGCCCTTGTTACTGTTATTAAGTAGCTTTTTCATGTACAAATGGTAACTTTGTTGACAGCACCACTGAATTATAGATGGTTAGTTGTCTCTGTGTATGTATTAAGTACATTTACTGAAGTACTGGACTTGCTTTACTGAGTATTTCCATTTATTTCAACTTTATGCTTCACTTCTGCTACATTTCAGAAGATGTACTCCATTACAGTTATCTGATTGTTCTACTTACTGGTTACTTTGCTGAGAAAAAAGCTACATACAAATGTAATGAGTTTATAAAATATGATGCATCATAAATAGATTATACTACTCAGTAGTATACTTAGGAGTTAACTTTTCTCTACCATGAGCAGCTTCACCATAACAATGCTGCATACATATATTAATGCTTCAATAATATTATTCTAATTAAATACATAATTCTGAAATTAACAATTCTGCATGTTTTTTGTTTTTTTTAAAACCAGTCCTGCCCAGCAGCCTGGTATAGAGTATGATGAGCTGGATACCATATTGTGCCAGACAGATTTTACTTTAACAAGAGAGTATTAATATACTCCTTTGTCTGTTTTATTATTGAATTAATTATGTATTGATTTGTCACCGGCCGGACAGGGGGGCAGATATAGGGATGGGGGGTACAAACAGACAGCACAGCGAAAGGACAATTCTGCATGTTGAGTTCTTCTACTTTTACTTAAGTAAATGATTTGACTACTTCTTTCACCACTGGTCAAGATGCAAAAATGGCACAAATGCTCAAATTGGCCTAATTTAGTGTGATTATGTGCAGCGATGCAGTTACTTCAAAGACTAGTCTTCAAAAGGGCTGCTAGGATTTTCAACAAGGGTAATCTGACTTAACCTAATATTTCAGTCAAGTAACAGCACTACTGTTTGATAAAAATATTTGTGCCAGTAGCTGTTACAAGTACGCAGACAACAACTAAAAGTTTTTTAAGCAGAATTGTTGTGGAGATAAAAAAAAGAATACAAATATAGTTGTCACACTGAGACAATGTGAAGATCCCTAAATACGTTTCGGAAAATCGCTGCATGGGAATAACACTGAAGATAAAGTCTTTTTGTGCCTGTAATCTGGACTGGAGTCACAAAGCGAACGTGAACTGAAGGTAGTGAGTTCATTGTGGTGGCTAATGTTTTTCTTTTCCATATGTGGTAATGTGCAACAGAACAGTTTTCTTTGCCTCTTTGTGTTCTTAGGACATAGCAATATTTAACTGTTTTCATTTTTGAGTAAAATGAATCATCAGCTGTGAGTGTACACCTTTCTGTTTTCAGTACAGTAAGAAAATACGCAGAGGACTTTTGTTTATGAATTACAGTTACCTTCGGCCCTTCATGCTGAACACAGAGGCAGCTTAATAATAAGTTGTGGTTGCTTAGTATTCCTGCAGATATGCCATGCAAATGTCATTGTATTTAAGGCAGGAGACTTTGCCTTGCTATATCAGTTACATAATGTACTAAAAATAGATGGCTTTTGATTACAAAGGAAATACTACTTTAAATTTAAGGACACTGATTTGAGAAAATATCCATGTAACACTAATGATGAGTAATGTGTAATTATAGGCATACTCAGACACTGATTATAATGACTTATTCACCTCAGGGTATTAATTTGATTAATTTTCCATTTAATGTGCAGCATTTACTGTATGTGTTATTTCCATTGCTAATACTAGTCATTGGTGTAATGTAGAGGCAGACATGACACACCTCCTGTCTTATGGACTCCAAGGGAGAAATTATTTGTCTAACATGGCCTCACCTGTGTTCACCGAGGGTGTGGCAGCACATGTGACTCACTCATATCAGCCATCAAAGAGAGTGATTTCAGCTCAGCTTTGAAGGGACGCCACCTCGGGTAATCCTCTGGGAGACTGGAGGACACAGTCGAGCCACAGACATTTCCCTCGAAAGCTTAGACTGTCACATGAATACAAGGCATTTGATTTGCATAAGGTGTTCCCAGATCAAGGCTGGTTGTGTCAAGCAGATGTGTTTTGGCTGGCTTTAAAATGTATTTCACCCAACCTATTACTAGTTTCATACATGGACTTCTATAATGTTTTTACAAGTGTGGGATTCCTGTGAAAAGATTTTCTTGCTCTAATGTAGGATTAGGATTAAGTTTATCTCTAAGTTATATAAGTTTATATCTGTGTGAGACTGTACTTGTGATGTTGAGGTAGATATGTTATATTAATCCAAATATATTATATTGATCCAAAGAAACTCAACAACTCAAAAGAAACAAAGTTTGTTTGTTTTTTAAGTAGTAGATACATTTTTCAAGGGCAGCAGCTAATGATTATTTTTGTTGTGGCTTGTCTACATTTTTGATCAATTATTTCATCACTTAGTTTAGTTAGTAATGCAACAAAATGTCCCAAAGGCCAATGTTATGTCTCCATATTGCATGTTTTCTCTGATCAACAGCCCCAAACCCAAAGATATTCAGTTTTATTGTTGTTGCAATTAACAATTACTTTCATTATTAATACACCTGCCAATTATTTTCATTATTACCTGGTTAATCTACTGGTCTATAAAATGTCTGAAAACTGAAAAATGCCTGTCACAGTTTCCCAGAGTCTATGGTGACGTCTTCAAATTGCTTGATTTGTCTGACCAACAGTCCAAAACCCAATGATTTTACAATGATGTAAAACTGAGAAAAGCATAAAAGCTTGCATTGAAAAAGCTGACAGTAGTTAATCTACTAATAGATTAATTGATTATTCAATCAATTCTAATAGTTTCTGTGCAGCCCTCTTTTACGTAACGCTTTTGCATTTTGTCTCCATTTCACATGGAGGATCCCAAGAATAATGAGTATCCTTATTGATGTCATGTTCCTTGGGAAACATTGAGATATACTGCTGTGTCAGGTAATAGTGGACAGTGATAGATACAGAACCAGTCACCTTCAGACTCAATAATCAGGAGGGTCTCCAGGGTCGCTACATGTCTTCCAGTGAAGTTGGCCACTGCTCTTATGAAGATATGCTGCATCATCGGTGAAAGCCATTGGGTGCTCTCTGTGGCCCGCTGTGACTCCCAGCTAGTGCATGTCATTTTATCACAAAACAAATTGTACGCCTTAAGTATAGGAGTGAAACTGTGAACGTTTTATTGATGATAGAATCAGCTGGACCCGTTTGCAGCAGGGCAGCATAGTGTATTTAATGTATATGTATTACTAATCTGTTGTTTCACATTCCTGCACCAGGTTATGTGATTTCCAAATAAATGGAGCACAGCCTGGTTTCTACTGCCTCTCCTTCTCTGTGCTACAGGATCCATGACGCCTATCCATTACAGGATGAGGTATCACTTGTACATAGTAAAGACAAAGAGAGAAAGGGGGTCTTAGGTCGCTAAGACCCAGACTCAGCCACGTGTGTGCACACACATTTGTTGTCGGTTTTGTATGTTTACAATCAGTCACCCAGCTACTGAGAGCACTTAACCTGTGGTATTGGAACATCAGCAGTCTGAGCCCCCAACACACACACACACACACACACACATACACACACACACACACACACACACACATTCACATATACATATATTCACTGGCATTGACAGAAGTAGAAGGAACACTTTCCTCTCACTCTGCCTAGTTACACCAATTCCCCTTCGCATTCCTAACACCGATGCAGTCAGAACTCATGCACATGCATGCCCACGCACACACACACACACACATCCGGAGCCATTATTCTGACGGTGTGCTGCTGGAGAGGCAGGGCTCTGGTTTCATTCAGGCTTCAGGCAGTTGCTAGGTTAGAGTCTCGCATTTGCGTGCGGTGGCTACTGGGCTCTTGACAACAAAGATATCATCTCGGGTGAGTCTCTGCAAGGGAATAACACTGAAGATAAAGTCTTTTTGGGCCTGTAATCTGGACTGGAGTCACAAAGCGAAAGGGAACTGAAGGTAGTGAGTTCATTGTGGTGGCTAATGTTTTTCTTTTCCATATGTGGTAATGTGCAACAGAACAGTTTTCTTTGCCTCTTTGTGTTCTTAGGAGAAAGCCATGCATCTTATGGTGGTATTTGGTGGTGATTTGTGCATTTATTTGCCTCTGTTGCTTCTCAGACAGTAAGACTCAGACATTGGCTACACAATTAATATTATCGAAATTACAAAAAGGCCAAGTGTAATATCCAAATCACAGAAGCTGCAAATTTTATGAAGGTAAAATGTGTGACTAAACAGCATTATAATGAAATACTGTAGTGCTGCAGAGATACCACTGCCTACACATCTTGTTCTCCAGATGTAAGAAAACATGTTTGTTTGTTTGGTACAGACCCCAACAAATGTCACACCATCATGATTGTAATAATTCTTTCAGTAAAATTTAAAACTGTGACAAAAAAATGATCATTCCCACTAATCGTGAATCATATCGCAAATTGTAATATCTGTAGAAATAATTTGACCATATTGTGCAGCTCTATCAGACAGCATACAGTCTTCTGAAATGATGCGTGTCAGCTCAAAGGCACAAAAGCCATTTACTTTAATAATGAGCAGCTAATAAATGTTCACCCTTAACAATTTATTTAATTAAAAATCCATGCAATTTATCTTACAAGTTAGATTTTATGAGTTCTAACTCAGTCTGTTTGGTGTAAGTCACGTCAGTTTGTTTAATATATTTGTTCATATGTGGAGTCAGCGGCCAAAAGTTTCTCCAAAGAATGCGTTCTAATCAGCACTCTCCTTATGAGAAGGAATTAAAGGAGATTAGTAGCTGCACAAAGGGATGGAGACCACTGCCAAAAGGGTGCAAGGGGTCATTAGTGATGGGGGTTGTATTTCTGCCCAGTTCATTCAAAAATTCTTACCCTTGTGTAGTGCCATGCCTTTGTTCCTTCCCATTAGCAGCAGTTTGACTTTAGTCAATTTTTTCTTGCCTCATTTCACAGGGTTTAGCCATTTCAGTGTGGAGCATGGTGACTTTTAGCTGAGTTTAGAATTCCTTTTGTCCCTCAGGAAACTAGCTGAGAGGAAGCAGCTGCGGCTTGCTGCCATACTGCTGCTGCTCTGTGGATTTGTCATTTCCTGTGGAGCTGGCCGATATGAGTAGAAATAGTCCAACAGTAGAGCTTACTGTTTTTATCTCTCAACAGAAAATCCAAATGAAGACATGGAGATAACATTTTTGACTCTTTGGATCATTGTTTCACTGTCACAGTTTGAATGGATTCTGCATAGACTTATGAAATATACCAAACCCAGTTTTTAAGGAGATAAGAGGACACAGATATTTTCCCGAGACACAGACTTTTGGACTGACCTCACTAAGCTAATGGCTACAACAGAAATCAAAGTTCCTGGCAGCAGTAGCGCAGCAGGTCTGTCGTGGGCGCGGGTATGTAAGGAGTGTGGCCAGCAGCATGATGGCCTGGAAAGCCACCTGTACGAGTACCAGGATGAGGTGGACGATGAACTGGTTTGCCACATCTGTCTGCAGCCCCTCCTCAGACCTATGGACACCCCTTGTGGCCACACCTATTGCTTCCACTGTCTGAGCAACTTCTTGAAAGAGCAGGACTTCTGCCCTGTGGACCGCCAGCGGCTGCAGTTAAACCAATGCCGCCCCTCCAGTCTGCTGGTCAGGAACCTGCTGGACAAGCTGAATGTGATGTGCCCCCACAATGAGTGTCAGCAGCAGATGCAACGCTGTGAACTGCAGCCTCACCTGCACAACAGGTAAGACTCTGGATGGGATGTTCACGGGTCATGACAGCTGTTTCAGTGGATATTGTGAGATGTTTACCTGGTTAAAATGAATGGTCATTGGATATGTTATTCTTCATGATCCCTGTTGTGCTTGATCACTACAATCGAGTGTTCACAATATCATGAACAGCCATACTATGTAATGTGGGTGGTGATGGCGCAATGGATAAGACTATTCCTTTGGTGTGAGAGACCCTTGTTCAATCCCCCACTGTGACCCATCCACCATTGTGTCCCGGAGCAAGACACTTGGCCCCTAGTTGCTCCAGAGGCGTGCGACCTCTGACATGTATAGCAATTGTAAGTCGCTTTGGATAAAAGTGTCAGATAAATGTAATGTAACCATTTTATAATAGTATAGCAAATAATACTTTTTGACCCTTCTGTCACCTCTGGTAATAGCTGCAGTTTGCTGTAGAAAAGTAAAATCACAGACTGAGGCAGAAGCAGACCTCAACTTAAGCAGAAGAGACTTGTCTATTGTGCTGCAGGAAGGGAAAGCCTGACTGTTTCACACAGTGTGATGGATGATGTATTAGAGAGGGAGACCAATATAAGTGTCCTGTATTTCATCAATTTGTCAAGAGGCACACAAGGCTTTTTGCAGGAAGGAATGCAAGGGATTTAAGGCACAGGTTTAAATGGAGATCAGGGCAAATCAGGGAGAATACATCTAAAGAGTTGTCCATTAGTACGAGGTGGGCATATAAACAAAGCAGTGAGCACAACATAAAAATTCATAGCAAGACAACACTCTAAAGATGACACTTGCGGATTCCTTGCGGTTTAATTACTTTTTACTCCACAAAGTGCTCTAAGTCGAGCCTTCGTGCGCTGAAAACGAATCCCAGTGACCATTCATGTGGTCATTAAATGAATGGTTCAACACTTTCTTTCTTTTCAAGAGTAAGAGGCGAGTAATATCACTCTTTTATATCTGTCTGTATAATGTGAAGCTGATGCTGCTTAGCTTAGTATGAAGAGTGAAAGCATGAGTAAACAGATTTTTTGGCTTTATTTAATGTAGCAAATCAATCCAACACCTCTGATGTTCACTTATTAACATTGTAAATCTTGTTTTGTTTAATCCAAACAAAATTTCGGCTAACTTGTAATTTAACATATATCGTACAAATAGGAGAGCGGTATCAATATTCTCATCTAACTCTTGGCAAATAAGTGGATCTATTATATCGTAAGGCGTATCGAATGTCGTGTACCCCCTAGGTACATATATGGATGTATCTCCACTTGAAGGTAAACATTATTCTGAATACTTCTCAGGAATGTAAAATAACTATCATCAAAATTGTTTGTATTTCCTCAACATGCCCTTACAGAGACTGTGATTTCCCCCTATGTTGCCGTACAATTTATTCCTGGTAGCGCAGTTCCACTATGAACGCACAAACTTGTAATTATTGAGCTCAAGGCAAGGTGCACGTCAGTCGTCACGCAATCATCGTGCTGGCCAACCATGATGCAGTCAGTTGCGGGTGGCAAGATTGTCCTGCTGCAGCCTCTCTGTGTAAACAATGAGGAGACAAAGTTCAGGCATGAGGATCAAGCAGCGGTCCCAGCATTCTGACTGACTTAATCAGAATCAACCTATCTCACCCAGACACTGCAATGCAGTGAAATTGTCTACTCATCTGCATAGTGCTTCTCTTCCTAATCCTGTGCATAAAAACACTCTTGTCTCATCTTTTAACACCCTTTTTTATTTCTTTACATTTCTGTGTTCATCCGTCCCTGACACTACTTCGTAGCTCAGAACATCCCTTTCCGTTGCATCAAAATGATTGTTAAAAAGTAAAGTCATTGGTCGATCATCAGCCAAATCATTCTCTTTACTAGTTTCCACCTTGTTCCTGTCTTTCCTCAGATGTCCTGTTTTTCGAAGACTGCGGGAGGAAGCAGAGAAGAGGAAGAGGCCCTCGTGGAATGAGCTAAAGGGACGTAAGAGTGACGGAGAGTTGTCTGGTGAAGCTAAACATTCAGTAACTGTGTGCCGAAATCCACCCCGAGATCAGCCTGAGCCTGGGCTGATTAACCCTGCCTATGAAGAAAGTGAGGATGGTATGGAGTCAGTTCATCACACAAACAACCACAAAGAAATTAGTGATTCAGTCCAGAGTCTGTTTTCCATACAAGTAACACAACACAGCACAAACATGATAACTAGAATCAACACTTCTTAGGAAATGATTTGCAGTAGGAGGTTGGTCATACTGTTATAATGTTATGTTTATGGAAGCTCATAGGTTGAACAGAAATAGTTTTCTTGCTGAGGCAATTGCAAAACCCTAAATCCTCATGCCCATCCCCTTCAGTGGGGGTGGTTGTCAAAACACAGATGGGAAATGCCAATGTTTTTAGCCTTGAGGTTTTGATTCGTGATTCTTTTTGAGTCTGTAACAGGTGAATCATCAGCCAAGTCGTAGGAACATGTACCAACTCACAGATGTTTTAACCAAACCTTGTCATCCCAGGGAAAAACCCTAAAAGCAGCTTGCAAGCCTGTACCATGCCACAAAGAAGCTTGCATTGTTGTCTTTATAATCTGTATTTTAATCAAATTACTGTTGTATGCTCTTAAAATCTGTGATGTACAACGAGCTGACTTGTGTTATTTTACAAGTTGAGATCCACTCTGTTTCTCTGTGTGTTACTCTTCACTGTGTGCTGTAAAAACAAATGGTAAAAAGTAAAGTTCAAAAAGAGGTTATTGTTTGACAAATCATCATTTTATGCATGTCTCTACCAGTGGAGACTACTCCAGAATTTTGGTAAACAAAATTTCTTGCCACTTTTCCTGGGCGTTAGGTTAGAAGATCAATATCTGTCTCCATGCATACAGTAAGGAGATTTGTAGAAGATGCTATCTTATTTTTCCACAAACATCAAATCTCCCTAGTGCTCTTCTAAAGGATAATTCCAGTTAATTGCTACTTGGGTGGTGTCTTCATAGTTCTGTCTATCATTAGAATAAGTTATTGTAACATTGTATTCACTTAAGTAATTGCTGAGATCTGGGAAGATGGTGACATCACCACAAAGAAGTTAGAAACACAAGTGGCCAGATAATCTTTAAAAAAAGTTGCCAGGTAAAGCGAGAGTGAGGGCGTCTGAAAAAAATCTGTCATTGCGCAGGAAAACTGTGTGCTTGTGCAACAGCAGTATGTTAGGACAAAATTAAACAAGGAGGTTAGTCTATAAACTGTGAGTGCTGACAATTTAAATAATAATTTTACTGTTTAACTGCTAACCTAGCTAACCTGGGGGTTTGTTAACATGTATGATTGCCTGAGTGCAAGTGCCTGTTGGAATAATTTTTTATGACATTGTCACTTTCCCAGATTTAAGCTGGGAGAGAGTATAGTGTTACAACTTCTGATAGGAATGGTGGCTAGCACAAACTTTATTATCACATAGTTTGTTTTTCAGGTATTTTACAAGGTGCAGCTCAGCAAACAAATGCTGTAGAGTGGGGATATTTGCTTCATAAACAGGGTTTACAGCTATATTTATTCTGCCTGATTTCCTGTGCCTCTTCCCTCCAGACAACACCCCCCTGCGGTCCAGTCTTGTGGCCGAGGCCAATGTGGTGGAGCTGTTCAGAGAGGAGACGGATGAGGAGCTGGGCCTTCGCATCGTGGGGGGGAAAGACACACCACTGGGGAACATAGTCATCCAGGAGATTGTCAGGGACTCGCTAGCAGCTCGCGATGGCAGACTTGCTCCAGGGGACCATATCTTAGAGGTGAGAGTCATAAACTAAGTGAGAAAAGTGCTGGGATAATAAAGCCCACAATGTTATGTATTTATCTCTTTTTCAGCATGGGAATTCTGGTGGCATAGTGTGACACAATTCAGTTCAACATATCTTTCCATAAATACCATTGTCGTGATATTGTAAACAGGTTGCTTTGCAGCAGGAAACGTAGCAATTCAAGATAAACAAGTTTTAGCTCCATGGTAACAAGGTGTGATTAAGACTGGCGGGCCAAACACGTCATGTCAGTGTAAACAACTTTGACTGGTTGCTGAAGAGTCATATGAAACGTTATTATAAAACAAGTTTTCTGCTAATGGTAGTCTAATACTTTTTTGTGCCATTTATGGCTGCATATAACAATATATAATAGAGATACATTAATTTCATTTGGCGACGTTTACTGTCTTTCCCACTTTCCCAGAGTCAGAAACTAATAAATGCTTTAGGACAGACCTTTTTTTGCTGTCTTTTTATGGGTATTTAAGAGTGACAGATACAATTGGGTGAGCACATAGCAACCCCACCCTGTGACAGAGATTACAAATAGAAGTCAGAAAGGAAAAAAATTATCTCAAAGGCTTTTGCCTCATTTTTTAATGAATTAATAAAATTCAGTTTTTAATTAATTAAATAAAATTAGAATAAATAATTGGTAACAAAAAACACAAAAACAAACAAGGGGATTACAAATAAATATACAGTGTAAATATACCTCTATACAGCATGGGGTCAGAAGTGTTAGACTGTACTGTCAATGACGTCTGTTTCAAAATATGAAAATATGTGCCACATCACATAAACTTTTGTAACATATCTTCTTGATGAATAGTGAAATGTGCAAATGTGCAAAATCTCCATTCCATAACTTCAATGTTGGGTGAGTTTTTCTTTCCATTTAAGGAGTATAAGTCATCTAGTTAGAAGAGATGTAAAGACAATCATGTTTTTTTCTTGCCGACTATAGTGCACATCTTGTGGAACCACTCCAAATATCGCCATTATAGCAGAAGGTTTATGGGTACTTCTAGGACGTCTGAAAAGGCTAGACATTGCTTAATTTCGGACAAGACCAAAACATATGTGAAAGGACAGACCTTTTTTTTTTACGTATTTGGTGTAGTCTGAAGTGATGTCACGTCATAGCAATATGCGGCTATCTTGGCTCAATTGTTGAGTGTGTATGGGATGAAATGACATAATCATGATCCCATAGATGTCCAGGAATGTCGCAAAACTAAGCAAGTAGCCTTTTTCCAAGCTTTGTTTGAGGAGAGGCCCATAGTCTCAGAATTTAGAAATCCCTGAGCTAATCGATTATTCGACTAAATGTTGTGGCTCCAATGCCACTTTTATAGACATTTTATTAACTTAATATTAGAGGTTAGTGTCAACACCTGTGTAAATGGTAAATGTATTTACTTGGTTTAGTATATTATCTGCAGCAACACTTGTGGTTTCCACAGAGGAGAATAGAAGTGCAGAATATGACTAACTGGAGATTTTAATACGTTGTGTTTTCCTCTCTTCCAACAATGTCCTCCTCCTTGGATTTCTATCCTCCGGTTCTCCTGGAATGCAGTACCGCTGTAAACCGAGCTTATATAGCTTTCAGCCTCGACTCTGGCACCCCTGCTGTAGTGTGTCCTCCAAAAGGCAGCTTTGCCTCTAAAGCCAACCAATCCCATACCTAGAGATGAAAACAAAAACCTGCCAGGCAACAGGCTGCCTTCAGGATGTGAAACATTAGCTGCAGTTTTTTTTGGCTTTGTGGAAAGATGGTGTATGTAAAGAACAATTTAATGACTGAGATCTTGAAACTCGATCTTTCTTCCCCTTGAATCGATGCATTGATTTTTGTGAAGACCTACTTTCACATCAGATTGTAATAAAAATACCACTTAGTCTCTTATTTTAAACAGAAGCGGCAAGCTGATGATAACTTGTAACTAGTATTTTGTTATGTTCCGATCCTTCTAATGCAGAACAAAGACAGTCAGATATGACATAAAAGTCAGATATGTCAGAGCTTTATGTTTTAACATAATCAAGTCAAAGTTCCACTTTTTAACACAACTATCTTGTAGGAAAAGTAATATGATTAGTTCATATCACTTTTCTGCTTAACAAAAAACTTTCTACAATGGCAGCATACATGTACAGATGATGATCTACTGTGTTTGTGTTGGGCTGCTCCACCACTGACTGTGTTGTTTCTTTTCTCTGTGGTGTTGTGTCTCCAGGTGAATGATGTCAGTTTGGCTTCAGTCCCCCATGCCCGGGCCATCGCAGTGCTGCGTCAGCGTTCCCTCCTCAGGATCACTGTTATGCAGGAGAAAGGTTTCAAATCGAGGGATCAACGGTCTGATCATCACCCTTCCTCTGGCACCACTTCCACTGCCTCCCAGCCCTCTCACAGTCCCCATGGCAACTCTACCTCCAATCACAGCCCCGGTTCAGTCCTCCAGGTGACGCTAATGAAGAGTCAGCGCAGCGAACCACTCGGCATCAAACTCATCCGCAAATCGGATGAGAGTGGGGTTTTCATCCTGGACCTGCTTTCTGGTGGCTTGGCAGCCAGAGATGGAAAACTGAAGAACAATGACAAGGTGTTGGCCATAAATGGACATGACCTGAGGCATGGTACACCTGAGAGCGCTGCCCTAATCATACAGGTATATTAAAGGAACCAAAGATATGATTTTATAAACTTTAGCTCATTAACTACTAATTAATGACATACACTACATTATTGCTGACCAAAGAAAACATATAGACACCTTCTTTTTTTGTCCAAGTTATGTTATTGTAATAATGTAGTTGTGAGCAGGGAGTAATTTAATTCCTCTTTGTTGGTGTGTTTAAGAAATTACAGACAGATTTTTGAGATTGTTGCCAGAAAGTGCTGCACTAATGAACTACGTTTTAAAAAATACAGGCTGAAAAACAAAGAAGACAAACAAAATGCAAACATGGACTTTCTGAAAAGAATGCAAGTTATTTGTCAGTCAGTTCTTATTTGTTGTTAGTTTCCCACCACCATTTATTGGGGTTTCTCACAAGCACTTGAATGGAGCAACAAGAAACTTCTCTAAAAGCCTCAAGCCTTTCTAGCCTAGAAGTTGCAGCCTTCATTACACTGCACAAGACAAAAGTAATTAATAAGAGCAAACAAGATACTGACAATAGAATCTTAAAAGTAGTTGGGCTACTAATTTGGCCCATGTATTGTTCTGAGCGTGGCGCAATAGAAAATGCCTTTGCCTCAGTAAAACTTGATCAAGATTTACCCAAGAGGAACACCGGATTTACTGAAGAGCATGAATTCAACCTACCGATTTTATGTCAGTCTGACAATGACAACTGACCATTTATGAGATATTTTGGCCTGATAGTGTTGGTGAAGGGAAAATTCAAGGGGTCAACAAAAATCCTCTTTGGGAGAATGGATATCTGTACAAAAGTTCATGGCTTTTACTTCTGTCCAGACATCTTGCTCTAAAGGAAAAGTGAGCTAATATTGCCAAAGCCACTGCTAGCAAGGGAAAAAATAAAGTTGTCTAAATGAGTTAAATGTGAAGGAGTATGCATCTCAAGCATGTTGTAAGTCTCTGCACGTTGAATTCCATCCTGAAATTACTATCAACTAAAGGTAGCAAATCAGCCTGACAACTCGATAATTATGGAAAATGTCAGCAACTTAAATGATGCGTTGTTGCACAAAACATGGACAACTACCAAAATTAACACCAAAACATCAGTGATCGCAGAACTCATAACAGTGCCGTATATGTATTTGCTGTGGAAATAATTAAGTTTTTTGTGCATTTAGGGGAGTGAGGCGCGTGTGAACTTCGTGGTGATGAGACCTGCAGAGACTCAGGAGGACGGCGGCGGCAGCAGAGAGGGACCTCACAGCAGAGCAGCCAGGAGGGCTGAGCCGCAGTACTTTAGGCGCCAGTCCACCTACATGAAGGTAATATATATTTCCTCACAAACCAATGCTCAAACTACTTTTTTAAATAAAGGTTATATTTATATTTATTTGGACCCTTGCCAGCTGTTGGCTGCTGGAATTCTAACTTCCTTTTACACCACTAACATTAATGTTGGTCCCAGTATCTTACAAACTTTACATGTTTCTGTTAACACAGTTTAATTGTGATGATCACTCCTTTGTCAGTTACACTTGGTTGTACCATACACTGTCAGTAGAAAGAATAGCTACCCCCCAATTTGGGGTGAGAAGCTTTGATAGCAGACACCTGCATTGGTGAGCGGAGATGAAAGCCCTTCTCTGGGGCCTCCTTCTGTCCTGATCAAAAGGCCTGGGGTGCTGCTCACTCTGCTGCTACGGGGCCACTGTCTTGTTGTTTTTTTGGTTGTTTCTTTGCGTGGCAGAGGATCAAAGCTGGTAACAGTTTGCTTTCACCTGCAGAGACGAGTCTTTTCGTCTTGCTGGGGGGGGATGGGTTCCCTGCTGGGGGGAAGGAAGAGCCCCCACCTCCCCCCAGCTTCCCTTCTGATGGTTTACAGACTCCAGAGAGAAACTAGGAGGCTGGTGGAAGCTGTCATTTTCCACACATCTTTTCCACTACGAGAGCTTAGTGTTGATCCTCACACGTGCCCTCTACTCTTACCTCTCAGCTCCTTCTCAAATGTTTCACATTTGTTTCTACGAGTGGTTTTGAGAGAGGAATCAGTTAAGTCAAAGGGTCCTTGAGAGGCTAAAGTTAATTGGCAGCACAGACTTCACGTGCGTTATCTCAAACAAAAAAAAGATTAAACAACAATTCTTTGTGAAACATGGTGAACAATATCAGCATTATTTTAAATATCTGTATGTGATTTTTATCAATATATTGATAAACATTGTACTTGTCATTGCTTTGTATTCATTTGTCTCATTGTTCATATAGGATCCTCCAGGAGGGTTTTCCAGTCAGGAGAAGAATGTGAGCCTAAAGAAGGAGCCTCGGCTTTCCCTGGGCATCACCATTGCCGGGGGGAGGGACTGTCGCAGCCGCCTGCCTGTTTACATCACAAGTGTGCAGCCTGTCGGCTGTCTGCACCGAGATGGCACCATTAAAAAGGGTATTAATCTGGTGATCTGTAATTTTGACTTTTAATAAGGAATTTGTATTAGAAGCTTTAGGCTTTGCAATGTGTCTTTGTAATGTTATTTTTCACGGCTATAGCTGCAACTAACAATTACTTTCATTATCGGTTAATCTGACAATTATTTTCCCGATTAATTATTTGTCTATAAAGTCTTTAAATTTTTAAATGACTCTGTGTGTATGGTGTAGAAACGATGCCATAAACATCGTAGACAACATTTAGATGCATTGAACCTTCTCTGTGGTCATACACTTTAAATGCCTATTTAGTCAAATGCATTTTCATTTAGGGCTTTTAGCAGACTCTTTTTGTCCAAAGTGACTTACAATAAGTAACGAATACACAATTAAAATGAGGATTTCATCAGGGCAGTAGCTCGGGAATTGCTTCTGGTTAACATGTAGTGTTCATTGATCATTTCATACTTGTTCAGTTGTATGTATACAGATGTTGGCGGTGATGTGCAGCTTTGTTGTTTGCCAAGTTAGAAAAGGGCGAAGAAGAAGAGATTTAGCCATCTGGTTGAATTGACAGCAAATTGATTTCACCAAGGATTAAAAAAATTAAAAACTCCTCCTCATGTTGAACACAAAGAACCTCTTAACAAAAATGTCTATCCATGTTGACATCATAATTTGTTTCCCCAGGCGACGTTCTGCTGAGCATCAACAGTGTTGATCTGACCCAGTTGACCTACAACGAGGCAGTTTCTGTGCTGAAGGCCCAGACAGCTCAGTCACAGGTGGTCCTCCGCGTCATCCAGACCCTTTCAGAGGACTCAGAGGAAGACGCCGAGGCTGCAAACTTGGAAGAACTGGAACCTGTAGACGACACACGAGATGACACCCTCAACTGGACACCGCTGTGGACTCGCTGGCTGGGATTACCGAGGTAAAGCCGCCTTCAGCACCACAAATTACCTGAATTCTGTTCCTCCACTTCAAGTGTTCTGTTCATTTTTAAATGAAAGAGTTAGCTCTAACTCTGCCCTCATCATTTCAGTCACATGCACTGGTGCCGGGACATCGTCCTGCAGAAGACCAACAACGAGAGCTGGGGCTTCAGTATTGTCGGGGGCTATGAAGAGAGCCACGGCCAGCAGCCTTTCTTCATCAAAACCATTGTGCCTGGCACGCCGGCTCATTTTGACGGACGCCTCAAGTAAGTTAAGCCCATTTTGACTCCCACATGACGTAACTAGCTCCTGTACCCTATCATCACTCTTACCCGCCAGACTCCACATTAATGGCCTGTTTCTTTCTCCAGGTGTGGTGATGAGATAGTGGCGGTAAACGGAGCCACAACAGTGGGGATGAACAACTCTTCTCTCATCCCCATGCTGAAGCTGCAGAAGAATAAAGTCACACTGACTGTGGTGTCCTGGCCTGGGAGTCTTGTGTAGCAAAACTCTCATTCCCATTTACTCACTTTTCTTTTATCACCCTCTTAACTGTTCACATGTACACACAGATATTTGCCCTGTTCTGCTGCATTCTTGACTGGTCCACTCTCTCTCCCTTCCATATGTAACTCATTGTTAGGTTACTTTCTTGTGTTTAGATCAGTTATGTAATACAGAACATGTGAGTACTTAAGAACCATCATGTGTACAATGGAAATTATTTTCCTGAGCATAGCCTCAGCAGGTACCTGTTTGTCCTCCCACACTCAAAGGACAGATGATTGCACAAAATGGGTTTAATCAGGGTGCAAAAATGATGACAATCAGTGAATTATATCCCAAGGACAAACTGGAAGGCGTTGCTTTTTTTTTTTAACACCTTTTTTATCCTTTAATCCTTTTCTGTATACTTTCTGTATTTTTTTTTTTTTACTTTCCTGTTAAATCATGTTCTCATTTTGTAGTCACGACTTTATTCAAGTGATTCACAAACAGCGTCCAAAGATGACATGTAGTGCTTAAAATATATGTAGACAGTTGTGATGAAGAATTATAGATGACTACATGTTACAAAATGGCTGGCGAGTGTGATATCATCAATTTTATTTACCTTGCATTTTCAAAACGTGCAATAAAGTGACGTTAAGAATAAAATCTATAGCTACACTGTGTTATAAATAGACACTTAACTTGACACTTTCATGCTTGTGCAGACAGGAAGGTTCAGTTTAAAAGGGCTTAAAGAGTCTGGAATATTTGAGATCCAGTCCTATCTAAGCCATAAAAGTAATCAGTAAAATCATCACAGTCTTAACTGGAAACCTGCATAGACCATTTCAGTAGAAATGCATTGGTAGGAAACAGCTTGGGTCCAGGCATTTCCTGTTAACTCTTGATATTAGCAAATGTTGCAAAAGGAAATAAGCTTGGACAAATTTATGTTATTTAAAACTGTGAGCTGGAATCTAGAAGCGAATAATTCCGTGATGATTGTTTGGTCTTAAACAAAGGTGTTCATTTATGTATAAGATATTCAGCTTTTGATTTATTAATTGATTCATGTCCATTGACCAGACCAGTGCTTTGTATTTATTTTAAAACAAACAAGTGGCTCATTGAATTACTTTAAAAGCGGGTGCCCTGTAGACATTGGAGGACAAACCAGAACATCTTGCCTTAAACTTCCCCTATACACAATGTGTTTCTCCTCATTATTTCCCCTCGTTATAAACTGTTCTCAAAGGAGAATGGCCTTGTTCAACACATTCACAGTGGCCTTTCTTGTATCTTAATTAACACAAGATTTATTGAATACTATATATATACACATACACACACTACCTACTGTGTGTGTATTAGCCTGTCCACTGTTTCATTATGTTAAATAAAACCATAACAAATCACGGTGTTCTTCTGTTTGTCATGGCTTCAAACTGCACTATGGGGATGTCACTTACAGTGGTATGAAGGCTGAGCAGTTCTGGAAAGATCCCACATAAAAGGTTTTGTAAATGTTACCATGCTTCACAAGCTGCTCTTGTTTCCAATCTCATAATGGCCAGAGAAATCTGAGGAGTTTTGTAGAATTGTAGTCTACATTCCCTAATAGTAGATGAATGACTACAGATGAGTGAAAATATTTGAAGTAATTCACCACAGTCAGAAATGTCCAAAAACCTGGACAGTCTACTTATGGCTCAGCCTGACCCCTAGTGGGCAGAAATTGTACACAATAAAGAAGTCAAGCAGGTTCCTTGCTTATGTTTGGGTTAAAATTACTTAACATTCTTCACTCTCTGAAATTATGTTTCAGAATATGTATTTCCCCCCTATGAAACTGTTTCTCAGCAGTGATGAAACATACATGCAAAATTAAAGGTGGCTAAACTTATATTTTCAAAAAGTCTGTACACCATCAGGGTAAGAAGAAACCGACAGACTCACTGTGTCTCTAAGGCTCTAAGTTTTTTTATGAACATTTTTGATTATTTCTATTAGCGATTAATCAGCAGATAATTTTTTTGATTAATCGATCAAGCATGTTTGCTATAAAATATCAGAAAATAATGAGAAAGGTGACATCTCTAAGAGTCTTGAGAAAAACTTTTTTTGTTTGAACAACAGTCCAAAACAAGGTGTTTACAATCTAATCTATCTATCTATAAATACAGTAAAATATGTCAGTGGTGGAAGACTCAGATACTTAACCTAAGTAGGAGTAGCAATACCACAATGCACAAATACTCAGTCCTACATTTGAAATTCAATTTGAGTAGAATTACATAAATGTACTTAAAAGTATCCAAAGTAACTACTCATTTTGCAGAATGTCCCCTTTCAGAGGGTTAAATTATGGATCCCCCAGAGGTCCTTAAATATATATTTTTAATCTTTTGCACAGAAAATATTTATTTCAAGCAAGTTATTATCTAACCAAAAAAATAATGATTTTAGGACTCCAGAGGCTCTTCTCTTGTTTTGTTGCAGGACAGGTTAAAACATTATCATTTTTATTGGCGACCAAGCAGACTTTTAAAATTTTTCAATGTGAGCAGGTCTAATGAGCCGCATGAAACACCTGTGTGGGTGTAAAGGGCCTCCATTTCTAATAGTACATCTTATTTTATTAGCTCATCATATTGTTTGAATGTAAAATCAAAGTAACCGCTAACTTCAGATAAAAGTAAGAGTACAGTATTTAACTAAATATTTTCACTTAAGTTCAGTTCTTAAATACGTGTACTTTCACCACCATGAACCATCCATAAAGCAGTATTGATAACATGACACGTGGCAAAATACAATGTGTTATTTGGTTCAGTTCATGTCAAATGCACTTCACATGCTGTAAACAAATGTTAATTTAAATTACAATTTGCATGTCACAACTAATATTTCTTACAAGGTAAATTACATTACTTGCTTTGGGATGTCCATTAACCAAATTTTGCAAGTCAACTCTCAGAATGTGTAAGCATGTGTTCACAAGCTTCTCAGAAAAGTAATTAGAAACATTTTTAGATGTATGTGCTGTTTTTGTTTTTTCTTTAGAGGAAATCCTAACGAAATTGAAATAATAAACTGCTTGGCTAAAGGTTATTGTACATTATTAATAAATTCTATTCCAAACTAACAAGTTTTAACTATTGGAGCACTGGTGTAATAAAAGGTTACTGAAAACTTCTTTCTAAACAGGGAAAGACTGAACAAAAAGGACCATAAAACCAACCACACTGAAGTGAAGCACACCGCTTCATGGTTCGGGGGTTGTGGTAAGCTACAGCAGACATTGTCCAGTATTTTCTGTGCTCTGATCGCTGATCCATAACATTAGAAAGTAGCAGCAGGTTATAGTAACACATTCCTGAGTTGTACAAATGTGTCAACTAATTGCGCACTGTCTTGTTAAAGTTAATGATTCAGCACCTTGTTAAACATGACAAATAGCCACACATCTGTAGTGAGGCAGCGGGCTTTGAATATAGTACATTAGCAGAGCTCAATGATCAGTTTTTACTAAGAGGACACATCATTCAGTAAGCATGGCAGAAAATAACCGAATAGTTTCAAACGAAAAACGGAAGCAAAGATAAATCAAAATCAACAATTTATTTTCTCTCTCCATAGGGATTAGGACAAACATTTACAAGAATTGTAACAGGGACAATACTGGGAGGAGGATTTAAAATCTCCTTTGATTTCCACCTGTACTTCTCTGTGGTTCACCAACTATTCCAGAGGCACTCTAATACAACGCAATGCAGCGATCTCTTGACTAAATATTCTGGAAAAATAATACTAATACTGGAGAAATGGCGGAAACAAAAGAACCGCTTGCTAAACACATGTACTGTAGACGTTAAGTGCTTCCAAACACATTGGGAGGACCAAACACAGTACAGGGAAGAGTACAAAACAATTTTGGGCTGAAATGAGGTGGAAGTGGAAGAGCATAGTTCAAAGCATTATCTTCCAACTGCACATCAGAGATGCAAACATCTCCAGTTTTTACAGATGAATCATTGAATGTCATCTTTATTGGCAAAAAACATGTGGTAACATGCACTGCTGTTGCCACAAGATGAATCTTTGCAATGCATTATCGTCTGAAATCCTGACTTTCTACAGGGCTCAAGTGCAATAGTTAGTCCTAACTCTGGCATCATGTACATTTTAACTATATGGCTTACAAGGTAAACAGGTCCATATAAACTAGAAAGGTACATCTTTCATTAATCAAAACTATGGTACAGCAAAATATTGGCAAAAAAACTACAGAGCTAAGTAACTTTATGTAAACAATGGTATATCACTGTACAGCTTATCCTAACATGGTATTTACAGGTCAAGTTCTCTTTTACTAGCTAGTTCCCATGTACACAGGGTCAAATGTAAAGGAAAAAACACAGTGTGATGATGACACTGTACGTTAGGCAATTTCAACCATCCCATCTACTTGCTAAGAACTGGATTAAAAGAGAAGAAACCCAACAAAACGGCATTTGAATCTACATACTTGTTGAATTACCCATTGCCTTCCTCCTCATGTTACATGTAGAGTTATTTAAAAAAAAAATTCATACATAAGGCAAGGATAGCTAAGGAAGGTGGAGGCATCACATTCTTTGCAAGGGATTACTGATATAATAGATGGGATACAGGTTGATGGTTCTTTGGGTTAAATGCACTTTTCGAGAGTTTCACTTGTTTGTCACATGTAACAAAAACACATCCGAGTGCAACAAAGGGGACATGTCTAGTTCTGTCGGGAAAATGTGCAAAATCTGCTCTAAAGCAAAGTGACAGTGTTGCAAATTCTAATGTACAAGGTACTGGGAGACGTAAGGGGTCGTCACGAGAGACGCCAGTGCAGACCCTCCAAAATACTGTATTTACAAGGCACTAAGGATAAGATTCAAGGGCCACACATCCAGTCCTTTAACAGCCTCCTCAGTCCGGTCGGAATATAGGATATTTCGGTAGGAATTCTATAAGAATCACCTGTAGAGAGAAAAAGACAAATTATTATTTAATATAAATTTAACTGCAAGATGTTTAGAACTGTTCTAACTTGAGCTGAAACTATCAGTCAATTGACAGAAAATTAATCGATAACGCCTTATTTAAAGAACTATGTGACTTGGTAATAATTACATGAAAGAGAAATGTTTGACAAAGCAACCCTCTCTAAAAAATTAAGTTTATATTCAACTAATTCGCAACAGCAAATATGTTTTGAAGGAAAAGTAATGCTGACCGGATTAGGTTTTCTATCAACATAATCCAGAAATGTTGTTTATTTCCTCATCTGGCAAGTTGCAAAAATCCTGAAAGTATCTCATTCTGTACAATACAATATCTGCTCATAGTGACTACAGCATTATTAACCTCTTTTTATAGTTAGCTTCTCCAATGTGAAGATTAGTTGCTTTTCTTTGTCATATATTGACAAAGAGATAGATTAGATTGTAAACACCTTGTTTTGGACTGTTGTTCAAACAAAAAAAGGTTTTCTCAAGACTCTTAGAGATGTCACCTTTCTCATTATTTTCTGATATTTTATAGCAAACATGCTTGATCAATTAATCAAATAAATAATCTGCTGATTAATCGCTAATAGAAATAATCAAAACTGTTCATGAAAAAACTTAGAGCCTACTTACGTATTCCATCATATTACTGCTTTCACATTTTCTTTTACTGAGTTTCCAGTGCAGCCCCAGCTGATGAGAGAAGAAAAGACACAGACACAATGAATGAGTATCGCTCTCACCCTCAAACAGACACGCACACAAACACACCCACACAAAGGAAAATCAGTCTGAAATCTCCCCTTCAGTGTCGGGGGAATTTGGCAGCAGGGTTGTCTGGTCTCACTGAGGTCAAACTGTGGCCAGACACCCTGAAGAGCTTCCTTTATGCCTTTGCACAGCTACTAGCTGTAATTTGTTGCTGCGAGACAAAACAAAATTAACATGGCATGTTACTGCTGACCTTGCGGTCCTCTCAGACCTTGTGCTCCAGATCTGACTCACACTGCTTTGAGGGACGTGTTAGAGGGTTAGAGTTTACAAAACAGATTAATGGTCATTATCCATCATGATGATACTCAACTTACACTGCACATCTGACACAGACAATTAAACACTTTCACACAGGTGCTAATGTGCAATTTGTCGTCTTTCTTACCTTGTGGTATAAGCGATTATTTTCCCACTCTAACAACTTGTGAATAGACCGTCTTGTCTGTTGGAACAGAAAACAAATGCATGTATATTAATGCAAGCACCAAAATACTCATTACTCAGTTTAACACGTTAACAGGTAACAGTAAACAGCCACAATGTTAGGATTTATGGACTGAACTCCCAATTTACCAGCTAGTAATTTCCACTTTGTTGTCATTAATTCTGAGTGGTAACACCACCTTTAAACGACACAGCCATGAGCTGGGCAGGACAGGAGCTGTGCAGCGCTATGCGTCATTTCTACACACAGCCACTAATTGAACATGAGTTGTTATTACCCTCTACACTTAAACCAATGCAACTGAATTGCTATAACAGCCCCTGAGTAATCAGCGCTGATGTAAGGGAGAGTTAAACTGTCCAACTCGTGTCACAGGAGGTCTGGGACTTACTCTCTTGTTGAGGCAGATAACAGGCCATAGACTGCAGCCTACTGTACAGCAACAACACAGGCAGCCGCAAAGAAGCCACTTCACATTCACAGGCAAGTTCTTCTTCAAGCAAGCATTCACCCTGCTGATGCTGGTTTTGAATTCTTCTGGCGCTACCTAGAAAATAAAGAAAACGCATGGATGTGTGTATACCAAAATAAACAGTATCTAGAGGGCCTTTGCAAAGAAATTATTAGAACATTGAAGCAATAATTGCACAGAGCAAAAGGGGAAGAGACAATTCAGGTTTTTCCAGGTGATGCAGACGTGAAAGATTCCTAATTGCTCAAAAGTAAAGCTGTGCACAAAGATCAAAGCGCTTTAGAAAACCAACAGGTAGATATTTGCAAATGTTGTCCAGAGATGAGATCTCCAAACACTATGCCTCTGACTTGCTAACCAAGCTCTAGATTGTTCAAGGCAAGGAGGGACTCAAAGGAGAGATAAGCTCAGTGCCTGTGGCAGCGGCGGCCAAACAACTTGAATGGATGCTCATTCCTCGCTGAGTCTGTACGCCATAAAACAGGGGTCGTAATCTTTTATGACAGGATGCAAAGGTCTCTTTGCAAACAGCCAAAGACCTCAGAATAAAGCCCAGCAGGGCCTGATCTGCACCCTTCAATCATCATAATTGTGACCTCATCCATCACATGTCACCCTGGGTCACAATACTGAAGATACTTTTTATTGCCCCACACTTCCCTCTGCCTGCTCTTACCCCTACATCCTTTTTGTTTTTCTGCGTCCGACCCAGGAAGCTTTCCTTTCTTGTCTACGGCAGAGTCTTCATTTCATTATTTTATCACCTGGAGCTAAACCCTCAAAAACACTGGGATCCCCGCCAACTCATAGACGGCTTACTCATTTACAGAGCTGGACAGCAGCACATTCAGGCTCTTTTCTATGCACTATGGTGCGTTAGTTGAAACGCAGCTCCACCAGATCAAAACCACTTGGAGAAGTTTGAATGGGTTGGTTTGGGGAAGTTGGGGCTGTTAAGGGCCCAAAAGAACAACAGAATCACTGTGGCTTTAATGGCTTAATTCTTCCTCCTTGGAATTGAACAGAAAGCCTGTAAGACTGAAGTACAAGAAAACTAAAAAAGCAACTGTACCTTTCCCGTGAGAACAGAGGGAAATTCTGTGTCAAATCTGTTGCTCAGTCCAAATCTGAAAAAAGCAACAACAGACAAAATGTGAGCATTGATATGGTAATAAAAATGTATTTAAAACTAAGTACAAACTAAGTACAAATACTGCTGTTACTATGAACAAGATGAGAACAGAAATAATCTAGGGCATAATTAAATTGTTTAATTATGTGATGAGACATAACGTGCTAACTTACAAACTATTTATCTGGCACAGTTTTTTCAAGTTTATTTTAGTTGACATTAAGATAAAGGGGGGACAACCAACGTATACAGAATAAAGACTTATTGCTATTATAGACCTTGATGTAAAAAGAGTAAAGATGCAGGCGTCCAGCTAACTGGAAGAGACATCATATTACCAACACACCAACACAATAATACTTATATCATCATTAGTAATAATACTTCAAGTCAAACATCCAAAAAATGTATTACAAACAAATTATAACTCGAATGAAAAGCGCACACATCCAAACTTCTCTTAAGGCATTTGTGCTTTATTTTACAGCAGTGGTCTGATTGGTGAGAACTGACCAGACTTACTGTGACACTCACATGGGTATTGCGTGATCACTCCTAATAATTAGCTTGTATTTATCTATATACACAGGCATGTTCACACCTTCATCTTTACCAGCGGAAGATCATTTGTGCTTGAAAAGTTGTCGTGTCCATGTAGAATAAAAGAAGAACTAGGAATGAATGTATATTTTCAATTCTCAGTGGGCACATTAGCACTGTTGGTTTACTGTAACATCCCTTGATGTTAATTTTGTTTCTAGAGCTGCAACAATTAATCATTTTTGTTTCAACTATTAAATTAATTGCCAACTATTTTGATAATTATTTCATTGGTTTGAGTATTTAATTAAGAAATAAAGTTTAAATTCTTTTGCAGCTTCTTAAATGTGAACATTTACTGGTTTCTTTATTCCTCTATGACAGTAAAGTAAATACATTTGGGTTGTGGACAAAACAAGACCTTTAAGGACATCAAGGTCATCTTTGATGGACATTTTATAGACCAAACAACTAATCGACAGATTAATCAACAATGAAAATAATCACTAGTTGCAGCTCTAGTTGTTTCTTCTATATCACTTTACCACAAAGTTTCCCATGTTCACAAAGCTCAATAATAAAACCCATGTGAACACTAACACATGGGAATGTGTTATAAAATTAATATCCTCACTTATTTTGTCTATTTAAAATCCAAAGCTGGCTAAGAAAGCTGAGAAAGGTTTCACCATCTGCTAGACAGGTTAATGTTATGATGACAGTGAAAAACATTTTCAACTTACATGCAATTATTTCTCTGAATAAAACTCCCTGGACTACAGCATGACGTCATATCGGGGGGACTGACAAGGTACAATTTGTCATTACCGAAATTTTAAGTCCCTTCATGCTACACACACAGAAGTTAGCATATAATTAAGTGTAAATTAGAATATGGTAACATATACAATAAAACAACAGGATATATATATCACCCTGAAAAACTGCGGCAGCCTCAATCAAAAATGTAGCTGAGACATCCTAATGTAAACAATGATAAAACTAGCAATAAAAATGGTCTTAGACGGTGATTAAGCCGGAGACGTTGAGTTGACTTGGCAGATAACTTAATAATGTCTGTGTTAACAACATAAGACGGAGGTTGTTGTGTTATTCTGCTCGGTTATAACGTTAGACCTCTAGCTAACGTTAACAGTACATCAAATGTAAACTTGCCTACCACTGAATATCGGTTGCTAGCCTTACACAACTGTTAAAGCTATGTCATAATAATATTGGGCAAACCAACTATCCTCTTGACAAAACATATGGCTAACTGTTGACGTTAGTTGTTTTGTTTTTGCGGTAGCTAGCATGCTAGCATGCTAACCAGGCTAAAGTAGAAGACACCAAAACAACAAAGCGACAGCGGGACAGACAGCAGCGACAGAAACGGCTCTGCTTACACTGTGATGTGCCCGGCCCCTCGCATAACCACAGGCTCCGGACAGTATCTGGGTAAGTGTTCCTCGCTCACTACGTGCTCATCCTCTTCGTCTTCCAACTCATAAATGGTATCAAAGTCCGCCATGTTGGGTAGTAAGACGCTCATGACGTCTCCTACGGGGCTGCGCACAGACGCACGAGCGGGCGCGTGGAGTTAAGAGCGATCACTTCCACTCTGTGTCCAGAACCAGAGCTGGAAATCATCATCAAAACGACCTTTTAACATCAGTGAGACATAACAGATGTGGATAAGTAGAATCTGTTAGACCCAAAACTTAGTAACAGAGTGATAAATTCTGCAGTTTGCATTCATTAATTCTGACATGGGTCAAAGTCCTCCTCCCAAAATAGCCAGTCTAGCCACATGACTATTAACATGTCACTTCCACTAAATAGGCTTACGCATGAACCTACACTTTGAACACACTAAAACAGACCAATGTCAAGTCTACATGCTAAAACGTTTTTATAGCCTATAAGATGTTTCCCTGACATTGAATACCAAATTAAAGTGCACCTGTTGAGATAGTAGGCTACCACAGGCCTGTCTGATCATAACCATAAATGTAGGCCTACCATAGTTTACAAGAGTTAGATAAAGATTTGTGGCACATGTCAAGTGTTATACAGAACAGGAAAAAAAGACGCTCCATGATTTTAATTGTTATAGGCCTAGCCTATTCATTTGTGTATGAGGAATGTCAGAGGTATGCATATGCATGTCCAAGCTTCCAAGAAATAAGAGAAACGACAGGTATATTCCAAAAAAAAAAGACATTTTATTTACACTTTGAGCACTGCCATCAGACGACCGTCGTACCCTATCATTCAACAGCTGTTCCTGCTTTACTAAAGCAGGTAATATTGTGCTGGAAAAAAAAGATTTGTCACGTTTGTCCAGTTTGGCATGAGCTACATACAATCCAGTTTAAAACGTCATTAAAATGTCCCTGAATTCTCATTTTATTCACATACATGTCATCACATACAACAAAAGGATATTTATATCTTATTAACTCACAAACAATTTAAAGCTTTTAAGTTTGAAACACGTCAATTTTTACGTTGTTTTTAACCCCACGTTATAACTATTCTATAAAAAGCAATATTTCAAGAGCCTCCAGCATTTCGTTGCTATAAATCAAATATTTTATCCACAGCTTTGTGCAGTTCAGATCTTCTGGCTGCCTATCAAGTGTCCTGTCAGCGTGTCGGAGTGCTCAGTTATGTTAGATGGTCCAGAGGGGGAACTGCTTTACTGAGTCACAGTCACTTGCTGTATATTCCTGATAGATGGCAAGGTGTTCATTCCCTGAGGAGGGTACAGAGAGCCGTGGATGTCTGTGGGACTGAGAGACCCCGGCACCGGCAGAGGGCTCACCGAACCCGGGTCACTGTGCACAGAGCCCCCGCTGCCGTCAGACTGACCCAGCTTCTTCTTGATCATTTTCCTCTCTTTGGCTCTGCGGTTCTGAAACCAGATTTTCACCTGAAAAAGCCCAAAGAAATGGACGTTAAAGCGACATTTTTGGGTGTGTGCTACCTCATTTAATCTCCAAGCATTTCTATATCGCTTAATTAAAACACACCTAAATTAATAATATAAAACAATAATTAGGCTATTAAGAATAATGCTACCTCGTTTGAATTCCATGCCAGCCCTTTATAATTAAAATAAAATACATTTAAAAAGATAGGTCTATAGAGTGGAAAACACTGTCAATGAATAACAATAACTGACACGTTTAATCTCCATTTCATTACTGGGGGGAAAAAATGCCCATTACCCAATAGATATAAATAACTAACTGTCTTTGTCCATAATTTGATATTATTTTCTGCTGTCATTTCAAATTGATAGTAAATATGAAAACCTGTGTGTGCACATGAGCGTTTATATTTCAAAAATGTCAGGCACTATTAATAACATAATCTATTTGTAGGCCTATGTTTGACTTATTATTTAACATGGAATAATTGATGAATTGATAATAACTAAAGACAACATGTCAGGGGTTAAGGTATCTTTAAATATATCCCAGGCAAATTTCTGAATCCTGAACGTAAATATGCAGAGTTTCAACAGCAAAAATTTATTTTGACAACACTGACATCGTGTAAGTTACACATATGAAAACAATCCTACATGTCTAAATGGTGCCTTTTAATGCTCATACATGACATAGGTAGCCTATGTCATACGTTTAAAGCACTCATCGCTGCTTTCTGCAATGAAAATAAACCAGAATCGTTTCATACCTGTCTTTCCGACAAACCGAGGTTGACAGCCAGTTCAGATTTCCTCCTGATGGTGATGTATCTGTTGAAATGAAACTCCTTCTCCAGCTCCAGCCTCTGATGGTCTGTGTAAACTACCCTGTATTTCTCCTTCGTTCTTGTTTTACCTGCGAACAAGAAACAAAAACACACAGCATGAAGATTGTGCAGGTAGGTGGTTGAACTGGAACATTTATACTGGGGAGGCTGCATGCCAAGACCGGCCTATCTGCACACGGCATCTTTATTAGCTGCCCCTTAAATCCACATCTCTTTGCTCTGGCTACAGATACGCAAATTGGGCTTCATCTTGCTTTGATGACAACTGTAGAACAGTGAAATTCAAACAGCCAGCAATCAGATCCTCCAGAGACAAGTTAAAAAGAAACACACGACACAGGAGTTAAGAAAAAAACATCTTCAAAGACGTAGCATTAATGCACATTATTCCACCTTAAACACCTCCAGACAGTATGTGGGTTCTTCAATTTTTCAGGCCTGCTATAGGTGTTTTTCTTTTAATGTATGTACTTTGAAAACAAATGGCTGACATTTTAAAAATGATATGGACACCCATATCCTTACAAAAACCATAAAATAAATTGATCTAACGAATATGAATTAGTGTAACACAGTAGGGCTGGGTTTTCCCCCCTAGACCCTCATAATTAAAAATATTCGATTTCAAACTGTAATTTACGCCAACGTAAAGGCCTACTGTATGCACGACTCCACGTTTGAGACGTTGGCTGTGAAAAACGTCACTCTTTCCGGCAATATAACTCTTGGAGAGGAAGGGAGGTTGGTGCATATCAAAGTGAAGAGGTGTTGAAAGCAAAGGCCTCCGCCTGGATATGACGGATAACACTAAAAACACCAAACAATGTGACAGGGAAATCGACCACACATCTCCAATGACATTAACATCACAACTGGGCCTGGCGACGGTTCCTCACACCTCCTTTTTTATTTCCATCACAGGAGAGAATACAGTAATAGACTGAGCTGATGGCCTTCAGTCCATTTTCTATCAAAATTATGAGATATGGAAACGAAGTATGGACACATTTGACTGAGTCCTTGTGGTGCGAGTCTAATGAAATTCATTAATATTATGTTATGGAGGCCTCTTCAATCACATCCTTTAAATGTTCTCATTCTGTAAACATTTTACACTCTGTTAACCTAAATGCAAGCAACCTCTATATGGCAAGTGTCAAAAGACCAGCGTTTCCTTATGTTCTTTCAATTTCTGTCAAGTTCTTTCTACTGTTGGCATTTCAGCATTTTCACCAACATTATGTCTGATCTATTGATGGTAAGTCCATGTTGCTGATTAAACAAATTCGATACGCTAGAAAAAAATATTAAAATGTGTGCGTAAAATCCAGTTGGACTCAAGGAAACACAAACTCTTGGGAGCGCAAAAACCTTAGGTTTTAGTTGCAAGAAAAGCAAAGGAACGCAGATTAGAATAACATAATTTTGGCACATTGTTTAGGATGATGAACTCACCTGTAGAAGATGATTGCGCCGTTTTACTCATCCACTGGAATGAATTGCGTCTCTCTCTATCAGGAGAAAGTTGTGCGACAGTAACGTTGTCCGGCGGCGGCTGTAACACCGCAGATCCTGGAGGATGCATATGACTGTACTCAGATGGGCAGTAAGGAACCTGTCCAGGAGAGGAGTTGTTCATGGGTGTAGGAATAGTATTAGGTGGTCCCAGACTGTATGCGCCCCAGTCCTCCCGTGGAGCGCCATATGCAGCTCCCCAACTTCCCGCAGACTGTGCGTGCGTATCCATGTTTGGCACATGATGGTATCCAGTAAAGTCTGGGTACTGTGGTGTAGAAACAAAGTTCTGTGGAGGCAGATTGATGCTTGATCTTCTTACTGGCCCTTGGTGATACATGCCGCTTTCTTTATCCAGAAGGTATCCCACATACATGATTTGTACAAAAAAAACAATGAAATGTAGTAATAGCAGCAAAGGGAATTATGTGGCCTGTTTTAAGGCGACATTGCTGCCCTGAACTTGTTAAAAACAATCCTTCTGCTGTTTACTCCAAATGTGTTCCCAAAGTGAAATGCGACGTAGTTCCAGTCTGTCTCCAGTCTCACATGATGTGGCTCTGTTGACAAAATGGTAAGGTATACTAAGGCCTGCCTGACGTCAGCCAACTCCTCAACTCTTGGAGATTTGCATTCAAATGTGAACTGACCGCTGCCGCCGGCACAGCTGTCCCCTTGCGGCTGTCCTGTAGCGCGTCATCATCTGACAGTGGGCCTATCCTGAACACGAGTTCTCCTCTCCATGAATATATTAACACCGCGGCCTATCAGATGCACATGCACGAACCGACAATAAACCGAGGCAAAGGCCTGTGCGTTATTGCGCGCAGATATATTTTCTTAAGCACTTACTTTCTTGTGATAATTGAGTTTAACATTAACAGAATATAGATACTAAATTACACATTAGTCTATGAGTTTTATCTAAATCCAGAACATTTAGCACATTTTTCACATCGTTTGGATATAAAACTTGTTATTTTGGGAACTCAGCTTCCAACCACGCTTCACGCGTAAACCCCAGTTGTATTTGTTAAGATATTCACTTGCAAACGAGGTGCAAAGTATGAGAGACTTTCTCTTGAAACAAGCCGGACCTTTCGTATTCCGTGTTCACACCTCAAGGTCGCACTTCGCAGCTAATTCCGGTTACAAGGAAACTCCAACAACCCCCTCTGTGACAAACAGCGGCCCTCGACACATCACTGTCCCCGCTGCCCCTGAAATTACAGTGGATGTATTTTTCTGTGATCATGTCACCAGCCAGATTAAAAATCACAGTTTTCAAAACGCATTTGGACATGGTTCCTTAAAAGTGCCAATTACTCTGCTGCAAGCATGCGCTGGAAACTAAAACATTTAGGGCAACAGCTTTAATTCAGTAGATCAAACAAACCCACTGAGCATAAATCTGAAAATGCCAGTTCAAAAGTTTTTTCCCCCGGCCCAAGTCTGAAGTGTACTCCTGTCTGTATTGATCATTGTGGTTGGATAACTTTATGCACCATTTGAGGAGTACTAGGCCAACTAGAAGTCTACTTATTCTCTTATTCTGTCTGCTCTTGGTATTTTTCTGATTAATTTGTTAGCAGTCTGAGGGCTTATTTAGCAGAGTTGACGGATTGGTTTGTCTAAAGTCATAAATGCTGATGAATGTCTGAACCATCTGGTTATGGAGTGGGCCTCTGACAGTCCACGGCCAGTCAGGTCTCTGATTTACACAGTTCAGTCTGTCAGTCTGCTGTCTGTTTAAAGAGCCAGTTCAGGATCTACTGTGACACGTTTTTGCTTGTTTCCCGACTGTTGGCTTTAATAGAAACGTTAGTGTACACCGTGGTGCAGTGTCAATCTGTCAATAGCACAAGCACGAATACATGCACAATGTCTTTACTCTTGAAGGACCCTACACATTTTAACAGGGTGATGATAGCAGGAATTCCGGTCATGAAGACTCCATGCACAAAAATAGATCGGTGAGATCAGGAGAATTCCTTGGGAATCACCACACTAAGAATAGCACTTTATTTCTCACTTCTTTATCTAAACGAGTTTATCTTTTCCCTGTCATATATCATCCACTTTAGACTAAGCTACATCACTTCATCATACTGTACTTGCAACGAGGTTACTTTGTTCTGTCCTGTAGTTTCCAGTGTGCAGATTGAGTATTCAGATTCAGTGCTGCCCTCTTGTGGATTTCTGCAAAATCAGAAAACAGCTGCTGTAATAAAAATGGAGACTTGATATCTGTCTGACCACGAGTGGTGGAAAAAGTACATTTACTGAAATACTCAACTAAAGTACAAAAAAAAAAAGAAAAAAAAGAAAATTTATTTGAGTATTTACATTTTCTGCTACTTTAAGCTTCTACTCCACTATGCTACTTTTCAGAGGCAATTACTGTCCTTTTTACGCCCCTACATGAAGCTATCTGATAACTTTACTTTGCGGATTCAGAATAATAACACAAAATATAATCAACAAATAAATAATGATGTATTACTACAGGTTAAGATAAGATTGGGTGATTTCACATGCTAGCAGTTTCTAAAGTAGTTAAAATAAGCTCCACCTTCACCAGCTGCAATATTAAGGTGGTGAACACATTAATGCATCAATAATTTAAATCCAATATTACAATAGACATTATTTTGAAACAGGCCATTCTGCAAAATGAGTATTTTTACTTTTGGTAATTTAAATGTATTTTGATGATATTATTGTAGTACTTTTACTTTTAGAATAAAATTTAGATTTCAGGGCTTTAGGTAGGCTACAGAGTATTTCTACATTGTGGTATTATTACTTTTACTTAAGTAAAATATTGGAGTAGTTCTACCACTCCTGACCACTCACCGGACTGTTTACCACAAGAGGGCAGCCTCCACCAACAAACACTTCCATGATGTATACCATATTGTACAGCACATACAGAGTAGACTATTACAATATGCATTATAAAGACTGATATATTCTGAATGACAAGACGTTACTGTAATAATCGCATTAAGTATGATGGTTTAAAGGGTAGAAAATACAGCTTTAATCTAAGTTTACAACAGCTGTTCCACAGATTTTAGGTAATAAATTACAAACAGACAACTGTATTTCTGAGCTGTCCATCTTAAGATAATATTTTATTTAGTAGTTCATTAGACAATGATTAGTTGCACATGTCTTAAATCCTGTCATTAGGAAACATCCATATATAAATTATGTTTTATCATCAGGTGCTTTTTGAGGCACCTTTCACTCAACTTAAAATAAATAAATGGAGCAGAATATTGAAACAGAAACTGCCTGAGTTACCATCAATCATGGAACTATCTTGATGACAGTTGTTTTATTGACAATCATCAGATGATCCTTCACCTCCTCATGTTGTCCTTCCCTTTCTCTGAATTCAAATTCAAATATTTGAGATGTTTGTGTGAGTAACATCAGAGGAAGTTTGAGGAGAAAGTATTTCTCTGTGACATGTCATCAGGTGATGCTTATTAAGTCTACCAGACCATTTTTTAAAAAGATATCACATGATGGAGGGTGTACACAGCTATGATTCAGAAAATAAGCTCATCATCATCACGGCTGCTGTGATGCTGCTAGTGTTGTAGTTGTTCTCTTATTCTAGTCTATGACATCAACAAGTCTGATGTTCAACAAGAACAGACTTGTTCAGAGTTACAGAGTAAATTGAGCACAGCAGTGATGGAAGATGTATGCACATCTTTTACTTAAGTAAAAGTAACAATACAACAATGTAGAAATACTTTGTTACAAGTAAATGTCCTGCATTCAAATTTTACATTAATTACTTTTCTAATTTTCTGACTGGTCGAGGAAGGCTGAGTCAACGTTTAGAGTGATGTGAGCAATCAGATTTATGTTTCATTATCACTGAAATACCTCCAGGTATTGCATTTGCATACTACAACAAGTGAGGATGAAGTGAAGTGCACTCAGTATATTGCTCTGAGTGTGAAGGTCCCTTCTTTCCCTGAGCTCAGCATAGTGTGTATGTTTAGCAGATCAGTGGTGAAGCAGCCCAAGAATTCAGTTTGCTGCATACCTTCATTGATGTTATACAAGTGGCCGCAGCGTTTCTCTGCAGGAAGAGAGTTAAAACAAGACCATCTGCTACTATTTTTAGAGAAACTGCCTACATGGCTGACACACAAGCAGCAATCCTTTATCTGTGAACTATAATATTAAACACACATAAAGCAGCATACTGCAAACACAAGTCATATTAAAATATTTTGATGAATTTAGTTAGGATATGATAGAAATACATGTTGGCAAGACTGTGAAGAATGTTTCACTTTTTGAGCTGTTTGTTTTGTTTTTTCAAGGGTGAGAGAACATGGTCTTCATCATGGGGGCAGGGATGAATTCAGATGTTTTGGGGGGAAAGGTCTGGGAAAAATATTTTCATGTTCACATTATTCTGTAGAAAATGAGGCCATTTGACTATTTTGAAGCCCTGAGATAAAAAAATAAAATATGGATAAACATTTAGATGGGAAGTTTACTTTTATTTTGGTTTTAAAAACCCCATAAAGGCACAAGTAGGCTTCAGTCTTTTTGTTGTTATTACTTTTTAGGCAGGTCTTTCATAAATCCCATAAATTGGGATCACCAAAGTCATTGGGGTTCAGCCTCTGGGTGGTACCATGAATATTTGCAACAAATTTGACAGCAATCCATCCATTGAGATAAATATTTCAGTCTGGACCAAAGTGGTGAAGCGACAGACCGACAGACAGAGTGACATTGCTATTCATCAAGCCGTGCTGCAAGCATGGCTACAAAGTTTTGCGGATGCAAAAGAACAGTGTGCAGCTTCTACAATTTTTTGCCTTAAAAGACTTAAAAAAACTACAAACTACCTACAGTTCTGACTGACACAGCAAACAACTGAACCCCAAGAAAAAAACTCGATGTGCAATAATCTGAACCACAACATGCCACTGCAAATGTAATGCAACAGAGGCCAGTTTGCCAGCCACCGCACATTTACAAACTGCTGGTGGCAGCAAACAGGAGGTTCTGATGTCCCACTTTTGGACTAATCAGCCAAGAGAGCCACAGAGCAGCGAGATGGCCAACAGAAGTCCGGCAGCACCAGAACCAAACAGAAATTCCACAGAAAGGGATTAACATGCAAAAAAACATTCATCTGAGCTCCAAAATAACCCCATGTTCACATTAATTATGCCACTGTGAACAGCATTTTTGTATGAGCACTCTATACCCCCCTTAACCCCTGCTAGAGAGGTAAACAATGGGGGCAAGTGGATGAGCTGGTTTCATTGAACTTTTGCCTTTGAATGGGCATTGATGAAGCTGAAGGCTCCCAAGGTTGTAGGCATGACATAATTTCGTAGCAGATCTCTGGAAACTATTTGAAGTCAGACAATTTACTGATATACCTAGGCTCTGAAGCAGGAGGTGATCTGACACAATGCTCTAATTTGAGATAAGTTTTCTGTCTGTCATCAACAGACCAACAGGGAGTGACAGAGCGGGGAACACATGCTATGAATAAAGTAAACATTGTTCAATGTTTCTTTTTTTTCACTCCACCGACATGCCAGCCTGTCAAATTTAAATTCAGACCGACAATACAAGCTGTCTGAAGTTTTCATAGAAAGTGTTTTTAAGAGATCCATTAAAACTGTTTGAATTGA